CTGTTATTTCTGCTATTTGCAAGGCCTGTCACAAGCCTTTGCTATTAATAAAAAATGCAGTAGCAACAACAGGAACAAACTTAAACAAAACAACTGCACGCTCAGCTCATAGCTTCAATGTGAGGCTACTATACAGATGGCTGGTTACCCTCATAAAAGTCTTTCTTAACCGTCACACAGTATGATCTACATAATGTTTGGTGGATTGAGAGGTTTTAAGTATTTACCTACCTTCAATGCAATTTTGAATCATGCAAACACTTCTCCTATCTATTTGGGGAGATGCTAGCTGATAGTGTGCTTATTAGGAAGCTGCTGCATCACAGCCCAATGAAATGCTCTACTGCACTCTCTCCGTATTGCTGCATAAGCTGAAAAACTGTGCCAGAAATTCCAATGAAGCAGAGCATGTTTACTTTCCTGGAAAACCCAACAGAGGCTGGCTCTTCCACTGCAGCACCCTCCAAGCATTCATATAGGCAAAAAACACATCCCTTGTGGCATGCAACCTTTCTTCCCTCCTCCTTCCTACCCCAAATTCCAGCCAGTTCACGTTTATAGAGGATGTTAACTGTTTATCATGGGCTGTCATAAACCCCCAAATTGCTAGACTTCTGCAGAAGTGCAAAACTGGTCACAGTGCGACACTGCCTCTGCAGCTGCTAAGGCTTTTATGTGCTGAGCATTAACAGGAGATGAGTTCTGTTCTGCCTGCATTCACGCTGCAATTTGGAAGCAATTCCCTCTCTGGCTCACACCAATTACATATCTGTCTGACAACATTATATTGCAAGTTTGTGATATGCAAAGTAGAAAGGCATATGCCTCTCTGGGAAAGATATTAATCCTTTTTAAGGTGAATAGATAGAAGCCTATAAGACAAACATGAACTTTATACGGCCATGTTATCTGATAATGCTGTAGGGCTATATATTTAGAATTTGTATTTCTGTTTGGAGAAGTACCAGAGCTGTCTAGGTTGTATTAATCCTGACTATCAGCAAGTTAAAAAACAGCATGTGTTTCATTCAAACACACAAAATGTAGAAGCCTGTATCAAACAGAATAAGCTGTTTTGCAGTGCACAATAATAATTTCTTAACTTATCATAATTTCAAATATATCTGAAAAAATAAACCATTAATGACTTGGGCAAATGACTGGGCAAAGCCCTTATAATACTGGCAGAGAAGCATTTCAGTTTCTTAAAAGCACAAGCATTTTTTGTTTATATAAAAAATTGTTTCAATTTCTTCCCATATTTTTCTTTGCATCTTCCACTTCCAACACTTTTACAGATCCCTCCCAACATTGCTACAGTTTCTTGTGCCCGTAGTGACAAGATGTGCACTATTTATTTCGGTCCAGTGAGGTCCTCCAAGTCAATGTTTTATTTTTGCCACTAATCACCAATAACTGTTAGCAGCTTTCTGGTTTGATCATCTACCACCATGAGGAACCTCCAGCAATTTTTGCCTTTACTTACTTCTATTCTAAGCTCCAGACCTTTGCAGGGAAAGCAGCACCCACCTGCAAAGACAAGATGTCTGTTTTCTGTGCCATAGCTAAACAGTGCTTTTCTGTAGCGTGACTACAGGATACGTAATTAGAATTTTGTATTTCATTTACCTGTTAATTTCTAAAACTAATGGAGAGAAAGGATAACTGCACTGGGAGACATTAAGGATTTTGAATAAAATACCCCCAAACACCTCATGTCTTTTATATGCTTATAGATTCAAAAATACAGAAAATGGTAATGAGTATGTATTTCTTTTTTTTTTTAATTGATAGGGATTTTACTATTGCAGATCTGCCAGACTTTAATACCTGTGATGATTTTTCAAGTTCACCTATATACTTTCAATAAGAAATTATTCAAAAATGTCTCTTAAGCTCCGTACTTCAAGTGGCTGGCTGGTAACAAGAAAAGGGTTATTTCCTTGCATGTAATACACCAGTACCTGGTGGGCAAAAGAAACATTGGTTGGACCTCAAAGTTGAGGACCCCAGTGGTCACCATAACCATGTTTTACCTTGGACAATAACACCACCAAAAATGCTTAACCTCTATAAATATCAAGAATAGGTACTGAAATCTGCCTTCCCGGGGTGCAATCTTGCAACATTTTGTACATAAGATTGATTCTTCATTTGCCCTATTATGATTTCCCCTTTATCCTTTCTCTCCTGACATCTGTGAGGGACCAAACACTGCAGTGTGCAACATGACCTCTTCCGAAGCAGAACTGAGACTCTAGGCAATTTAAACATTTCCACTTTGGAGCCAAATTCCATTTGGTGAGTGGATATCAAGGCAGGGGTGTCCACAAACAAAAGGAAAAGCAGCAATGAAGGGCTGCGAGTTATCCTTGTTTTATACAGAATTAATATTACAATTAGCGAGAATCCAATCTATTGCAAGGTAGGGAAGTAAAATGAAATGCCTAGAAAAACACAACAGACACCCTGAAAAATGAATCTCTACCTATTATGATCCTTGATCAATAGTAAATAAAAAGGCTATCTGGTTCAGGAAGTGCTTGAGATACCGATTAAAAGAAATGGAAAAACTCATTTTGGAAGGGTCATTAATGCTTATATATGGTGTCTCATATATGTTACTCCAAGTCGCTGTTATTGGTGATATTTGGAGACAGGGTTCTGAGTCAGACAAACCTTTGACCAATGAACATGCCCTCATGGTTCTGCCCTCAGGTTCTCTCAGTAACTTTTTGAAATAACGAATAAATGGCAAAAGTTTGGTAGTGAATGACAAGAAAAAGCAAAGGGATCTTTTAGATGAGTGTGATTGTGATGGCCAGCACGTGTCTGATTCTCTTAAATGCTACTGCATTATGTGCTATGCAAACATAAAGGAAGGTACAATCTCTGTCCAAAAAATGGAAGCCTGAGGAAGGTTATTTGCCATGTTTCTTTACATAGAAAAAAGAAAGAGTTTTTTGGATGCCACAGCTTTTAACATAACTTTTAATCAACTACAAAGCATTGATTCTCTCCAATGAGTAGGCACCCTCAAATATGTATTTAGACACAAAGAATTATATCAACTTTTTTTTCACTGCTTTAGCTTCAACTCAGAACTAAAACATCTCTTGGTGCATAACCCGTAACTACTCCCATTTACTACTACTCCACATAATATGATTTACTTTAAAGCATCAGTGAGGGATGGTGAAGCTAAGCTGCATTTTCTCACAGCAGGGCAAGGGAGGAGCATGCACACAATGAGTTAGCAGCAGCCACCATGGCTTGGCTAACTTGTCCTGCCACAATTCACTGTGCCCTGAAATGTGCACTACCTAGATGGGCTGTCACGCTTCTCACTCACATTGCTTCCACCTTTTCTGTTATGGATTGGACAAGAAAGCAGCTGGCAAACCCAGTTCCACTTCCACCTTTCATCAACACACAGAGGTAACAAGGACTCTTAAAAACATGCTTCTGGGATATTACCTCTTCCGCACATTTTTTTTTTTAAAACAAAGAGAAGAAAGCATCATCAGTTTCACAGATTGGTAACAGCAACTCAAAGAAGCAGCTGCAAACAAGAGTTATTGCTTTAAAGATTAGATCCCACAGTGTATATTTACTCCAAAATCAGGATAAATATAATGAAAGTGCTTAATATTAAAAAAACAACTGCCCTGCAATGCACCTCTCAAAATACAGGTTAAAAAGCCAGACATTTCAGCGGTCCCTGTTAATTCTTCAGAACAATGTTCTCAATTTATCTTAACACCAGGAATTACAGAACAGTTTCATACTGCAAAGTCATAACTTGTTTCTAGGACTCAGTATCTGCATAACATCCGCATGTAGCAGAATGCATTCCCGCTGATACCAGATGCTTGAGGTCAGAATCAGAGGCAAATCTAATCAAGTATAATTCGTATCCTAATTCCTTTGGAATTTAGGTTATATAGAAGATTCCAAACTCAGGCAATCCAAGATGAATATTGCTTGTGAGGCAATTTTTGTCTGCTTACACATCACCTCTGGATTTTCCCCAGCAGACTAGAGATCATTCGAAAACTTCAGTACAGTTGAAAATTTGACATTTTAGCAATTAATTCTTCTTTGCACTTCTTCTTAAAGATAGCTAGCTGTTTTGCTACAGACTCCAGCCCAGTCTTTTGAATCCCCTATTTCTGTTACCAAGAGAAGATCTCGTGTTAACTCAGGGGAAACTGGAGGTCATAAATGCCATTTACACTGGCTCACAGTGACTATAGAGGAAGGACATGAATGGTCATGCTTATTTTGGACATGAATGTGGGACAGCCAGGTCTGGAAATGTTAACTTGGGGTACATTATATGCATAGGTATATAGCTCTTTGCCTAAGAGAATTCATTATTTGCATACCTTGCTTAAAAAGAGGCAGGAGTGGTTGAAAATATTTACACTACATTGCTTCAAATTTCCTGGGCATAATATGAACTACCAGGAGAAATTCCTTTGTAATCAGTGTAGTAATATCAAAGTATACCGACCTGTAGTTACAGCAACCCAGACACAGAATAGAACCATGCCCTTTTTGTGTGTGAATCCACCCAACTGGAGGAAGCTGGACCCACCATAACATTTTCTTTCCAGTTAAGAATCGGCATGAGTCTTTCTGGAGTTAATTATGTCCCCAAATTCAGCTTTTTAAAACTACCATAACTAAAGTTAATGCAGCTTATTGCTAACAATATAGCCCCAATAGTCAATGGCCTTAATATTTGCTTATAGGAGTATTTTTAAAAAATGTAAATAATGCAATATCCACAAAATGTATGTGCGGGGAGAATCTGTGGCTTACTACTCCCTAACAGTTTCAAGTTAATCCTAATGCATACAAAGTTTTTGATAATATTCTTGGCCTTTCCTAAGGGACACGCTGGGCATGGTAATATCCTGGGTGCAACTTAAGGCAGTTCAAATCTCTTTCTGGAGTGGCTGAATTGTGCTACAGTAGACTGGAAAAATACTTACGTTCTACAAAGTAAGAGCTGGCATCAATCTTCCAGATAATCTGACCACGATGAGAGCCGTTGACGCCACGATTCTTGTAGTCCAAAAAGTTTTCAGACAAGACCTCATCTACAAGCAAAAAAAACAGTCTCATCAGCTGCCTGTTAAGACAACATGCATAAGCAGGGAGCCAGACTAAGAATATGCCTTTGGCTCAACAGAATATACTATAGCTGCTAGACAGCTTGGCACCACATGTTGAGAAATTATTTTTTTTCTACTCATTTCTATTTTAAATAAATACAGCTCTTAAAATCACAGCTTTTCTTGAATGTAATTAAAATATATGTCCCTGCAAAACTCTCAAAAATTAAAACATCTGATATAGCATGGATCAGTCCCTACCTATTTTAAAAATACTCCTTTAGCTGGAAGAGAGAATGATAGCCAAAAAATAACCCCCTTTTGCACCAATTCTTCCCTTAAAAAACATAGACACATTGCTATTGTCCTAACAGATTTCTTGTAATACCCAGGGAAGGTTATTGATGTTGGAAGAAGAATTCCACTAACTGAGTCCCTTCACAAAAAGCACAGAAATAGCTCTCAGCTTTCAAAACCAAATGTCTGATAGTGAAAGGCTGTCCATTCTCAGCATGTTGAGAGACCAAGCAGCTGTCTGACAACTGAGTTGATTTTTGGAGGAGTCTGTATCAATGAGTAACCAGTAGAAAGACGATGAAAGCTTCGAGGTTGAGGGCAGAAAAAGCAATTTCCTTGCCGGCAAAGGGCTGTGGGAAAATAAAAGCAGGCTGGGCAGTGAGTATGAAGAGTGGCCTTCTGATTGTCCACATAACTACAATTTTTGCTTGTTTCCGGTTTTCATTTCAGACTGCCCCAGCTTGCCCTTTCCGAGGCAAATCCGCAAGCCCCTTGCCACATAGCTGGGAGCAACCCACCCGTCCTGGCTCCAATCCTTGGGACTGCTCCATAACCCTAATTTATTCAACAGCGTAGAAAAAAATTGTCGTGGCGCTCAGAGTCACCCTCATTTTCTTATGAGCCTACATTGTCTTTTGAACAAAAAAAAAACATACAAGTTGCCACCACACCAAACCAGTACTTGGGGTTTTGAGTGTCAGTAAGTAAAAACAGTGCAAATAAAGGAGACATTTACCTATTGTTGGAGGGGAAGGGGGCTCACGGGCACTGGCCTGCACCACGCTTAAGTGCTTGTGCGCGCGGAGGCTGAAGCAGTGACCCGGCATGGGCCGCGCCGCTTCTCCTGCCTCGGCCGCATTATTCAAGCTTCATGGCAATGAAATGGATTTCACATCAGTGAACTATCAAAGCATTTTGCCAAGTGAAAGGCAGCATTCTCTGTCGGCAGCGATCAGCGAGCAACCTCCTGGATTTTTCCCTTCAGCAACAAAGACGGTCCTACATTGAACAGAGACTTGTACAAATGCCTTTTAACCAAGTCAACCTCACTGCTGAGAGCCCTGAATGGTTGCTGAAATTCTGCTCCTGAGACAACGACGCTAATTATTGGTCACAGCAAAAGCGAAGAAGAAGTGTCAGCCACTAAAATCCTAGATTAAAACACATTAACTATAAACGCCGGGTGAATCACTCGCTCTGTAATCTCATGGGTCAACGAGGAATCAAGAGACACCAGAGGACCAGGGATGCCGTGTCTGAGAATGAGTTTGCACAGCGACAAAATGGAGAGTGGGGCAGAGAGCCCAGAGGCAGCTCTGAAAAAGCCGCCAGGACTTGCGGAGCGGCGCGCGGGGCGCAGGGCCGCTGAGCCTGGTGCAGGCCTCACTTCCACAGTGATGGGACTCGGACAAAACTGAGCGCAGAGCTTTCTGCCGCGTTGTGACTTATTTTGAACGTAGTAAGTCTCTAGGGTAGAAATCTGGTCATCAAAAGAACAGAGCAGTTGAGTCAAGCTCCCTAACTGATGGAGAGTCGGGTGCCTGTAGGCCCCAGTCAGAGTGTGCACAGGATTTCACCTGAGTAGGCCCAAACAACTGAACGTTTTGGGTTTTTTTTTTTCCAGCAGAAGGAAAGAAATGGGAAAGACAAAAGGCATGTGGGTTTTTGAACAAATTTATATTCCATGCATATATAAATGGAAAAGAAATAGGATAAACTAATATGCTGATGGATTAAGGTACTTCAGAATGCAAGCAGATATGTGCATTGTAACTCAGCAAAAGTTAATGTCACTCTTGGTGGTTGCTAAACAATATACAAAGGAAAAAGGCAAGAAAACTAAAGACCAATATATTTATTAAATAGGTTAAACTGAGGTTACATTTCTAATGGAAGAGAACTAGACCTTCATTGAAAGAGAAAAGGAGCAGGCAGATACCAATGTTATTCCTTTGGTTTTCCACAATAGTGTTCTCAGAGGAGCAAGATAAATGGGCTACCAACACTAAACTGTTTGGGGCCATTCTCTTGAGGGATTTACAAAGGAAATCCTTTTAAAGAGGTCATTAATGATTGCAATGGATAATTATAAATGGCAATGCTATCTACAATACATTTTCCCTTTGCTGACTGGCTAATTGTCAGTAATTATTTCACTAGCTGGTTTTTATCCTCTTTACAGTTGTGGACATTTTTCAGCACATTCACATACTATATTTCTGTGGTAACCTTTCAACAGTAAAATCCTTTGGTATGATTTCTCTTCTTCATCTATATTTCCTAGTTGGTTTTGTTTTCTTTTAAATGTAAAATTATATATTTAAAAAGGCTAGAAAAGTACACATCTTTCCTTAGAGCTTTGGCTTACTAACGATTACTTCAGTAAAGCACCTGGATACAGGCTATCCAAAATTAGGAGCACTACTTCTTTTCAAACTCGTGCACTGGCCTTTTCATATGAAGATGCTGTGCTGAGCTGGAGCCTGGGAACTCCGACGAGCCCCCCTCACCCTACCAGGGCACAGAGAAGTGTTCTCAATTTAGACACACTGCTCTCCAGTTTCATCACTCATTACATTTACTTGTCATATTTAGCCTCTGCAAAATGCTGAAGATGCTCTAATTTGTGCCAGGCTATTAGGGGTAATTACTGTTTCTCAAGATACATTGTTTATAAAGCACTGCGCTTGCTTGAAGAGGCTTCGCTGAGCTAAACTGGGTGGCTTTGTTTAGGAAATAGCAGGCATTTGAGGCCACAGTTTAGTGACACCCGGGATCCCAGAATCAGCTGAAAAGTGCTGTGTTCCTGCATGTTATTTTGTGCAACATTATTTGTTCGGACCAGCTGGCACTTACAGGGGATCAGTTATTGCCCATCTATCCACAGCTGGTGTAATGGCAGTGCAAACTCTGCATCACACATTCTCCAACGTGATAGAAATGTGAGCTACGTGCACATGCCCACACCAAGCCAGCAGAGATGGCTGCAGGAAGCCCCTTCCTCTTTTGTGTCGGAAAGGGGCAGGAACATCAAGCTAAGAGAGGGACGGCTCTGCATGTGCAAAGTGCTCTCGGACTAAGAACGGAGGGAAGGGAAAAGCAGGTCTGTCTGCAATTGTGAAGTGCCAAGTGAGAGTCAGGGAAAGACCAAGCCAAGTAACATCTGCACCCTGTCCCCTGCCATGCAGAACAGAGGAAGCGGGGAGCAAAAAGGAAAGTATCCAAAGCAAAAGCTTAGGTCACAAGGTGTTTTGTGACAGCAAAAGGATGGACGTGGGCACGCACTTAGTCATACATGAACACAGTTTACAAACTCTACAGAGAGCAGCCACTCGCGGCATGCAGGCTCAGGCAGTAGAAAAAGTGTCTTAATATTAATTTAATACGCCCCATGATATGCAGGCCATCTCAGGCAGAAGCTGTGGAGCCTTTAAGTATCATCTTCCAAATGGTATCCACTTACATATGTCACAAGAAAAAGTATGACTTGAGGCTGTTTCTTTCGGCTCTTAAAAAAATGAAGGAACTGTTGACAGAAGCTTAGATGTTCAGAGCAAGAGCGGGGCAAATTTATAATTAATGAAAGTAAAACATACATATAAAGGTCATAACTTAGAAATCCCTTGCACAGGGCCTTCTCACAGCCTGCACTGTCTCTTCTGAACAGCTAAGTACCACTTCTTTCCAAAGAGGTGATAAGCTTCTTCCAAATAAAAGTTATTTTTACTGCACCAGAAATGTGAGGTACTGGAGATTTTAAGGCCAGACCAATTTTAACTCTAGAAAAGCACATGCAGAACCAAAAAGTAAACCTTCCTTTTTCTTTTTTTAAAGATATATATTTAGAAGGTGAAAGAAAGGAAAGAAGTATTTCCTGGCAAGTTACAAAAAAAAGAAGAGCAGCAAGGTGGATGGGATGTACGGATGCATTCTACGGAGCTGCTTTCGCTGGCGGCTGATAGGATGCCAGGTGTGCTCTTCCCTGAGCAGGGACATATAAGTAGCACATCAACAAAAATAGTGTGCAGGTAAATCACCACTTCCTATGTAATATACACAGCTGTGTAGCACACCATACATATATATACAGACAAGTGCTTGTGCCACATGTAAAAGATGATATGGTATGTTTAAGACAGTCAGGGAATATGTGCAAGATAAAACAAATGTTAGTCTGTAATTCTACAGAGAACTCCTGTAATGAAGGAGCTGACCTTAAAGAAATGTTGCACATTAACTCCCCAAGGTAAATGGTGAAATGCTTCGCTTCACCTCTACGCAAGATGAGGAACAGAGTTAATGCTGCTCTCTTTCCTACATTTCAACCGGCAGCTAATGGCTTTTGACATTTTTCCAATGAAGCACTGTAATGCACCTCCCTCCCCTTATTTTTGAAACGAGATTAACCTTTAAGCCAGCTCTGTGGGGAGCTGGCAACCCCCGCGGCTCCTCCTGGAGGGGTTGAGCCTTGGCCTCCTTGATGGCGGGAAACCCTTGGCAGTCATGGTCAGAGCGGAGGCCTCGCGGCCCCGCGCAGAGCAGCCGAGCTGAAGCAGGAGGCCAAGGCTCCACCTTGCCCGGGGACACCTTGCAGGGCCCCGTCCGGACAAGTGGGGAAGGTGCCGGCCTACACGAGCAGGAGCCACGGGGACCACGGCACGCTAGCAGCAATTATTTTTGCAGCTGCA